AATTTACGTGCAGATTTTAAATAATATCGTTATCTTTGACGAAAATTTGCATGGGGACGAACTGTTTCCCCCAATAGTAAGATTAAACTGTAACAGAATGCATGTGGCGGATGAATAAATTAATTAAACAAAATAGTATTGGTTAGAAGGTCATAATAATTAATAAAGATTAAGAAGATACTGCAGTCTGCAGAGCATATATATTTGTCAAACAAATATATGTAGATATATACAATTACTGTCCAGCTAGCTAATATAAAAGTGGCAGGCGGTGATATTTTATTTGCTTTTCTTGAATTCCTTCCTATCAATATTTCAAGGGGTGTGATATCCACACACTCCATTTTACTTCTCACACATCTTTTTAATTTTCAACCGTCGGATCGAATGAATTGAAGAAGATCAACGGACAGAAATGATTAAGGGGTGTGTGAGAAGTAAAATGGGGTGTGTGGTAGCACACCCCTATTTCAAAGTCAGTTTAGCAGTCCGTTACTAAATTGATACCTAGTATTGTTTTAACTTAATCACTTGCATATATTGTTTGGTAAGTATTGAGCCTTATCAACAAATATTTTAGCGCAAATGAGAGTATCGCCGCTCAATATAAGTTATTCCGTCAGATTTCGGATATGAAATTGCACCTCTTCCTTACTTTATTCGCGTTTGTTAAACCAAAGAGGAAAACTCAACATTCTACGAGATCTCGTGAATGTTCTGAATAGAAGTGGCACACAAGGTTGGAACCATCAAACTTATTAAAGTTATCCGAAGAATTAAAAAAATAAATAGAATGGGGAGGTATGTGCAACGCTTTCTGCTTAAGCTGTTCAAAGTCATCCTAAACTAATAGTCAGACTTGCAGCTATTATTGAATGCTCATGTACTTATCACTAGTTAGAGATTAGTCAAGATTTAGGAGCCTAATAATGTCCTAATGTATTCTGTTCCACTTTGAGTTAGTAGATTATTCTTTATTTTCCATAATTCAGTAGAAAATTCATGTTGGACTCAATATTTTTCAAAATTCATGAGCTAGGCAATGCCAACAAGTAAAGGAAATAGTTAAGACGCTTCCTTTATAAAAGTAAGAAGAAGAAGAAGAAAAAGAAGAAGAAGAAGAAGAACAATTGTTCGTTGAGATAGACTTCAATTGATCCATTACAAAGCATGTTAACTCTAGATAAAATGTAAATGTGAGTTAGGTCAGTTGGCCAAAACAATGTGAATTAAGCCAATTGATCAAAACAGATAGGGAGTACTGGCAGACATCTTAAAACCATCCACGACCACCATAATCCATAATCTGTGTGTTTGGTTGAAGAGAATATTACACAAACTATGTATATATGACATGCAGTGATCATGGATCAAGATATGCGTTGAATACATACTTGCTCTAATCATGTCATTTCATCATTGGTTACGTAAGGGTATCATGGTTTATTTAGCATTGAATAATAAGATAAGACTTTAAGAATCTTTCGTCTTATTATTTTGGATTTAAATTGTCTGTCTGTCTCTAGCAACCCTCCACGTTCAAACAACACCCTTGCCTAACCCGCTGTCACCACCACACCCCATTTTTCATTTCTCAAATCTCCCTTATATGTATATATAAGCAACTTCTGATCACCAAACACAAAACCTTCACAAAATCCTAGCAACGAAATTAGCTGAAGAAGCTCATCAATGGCAACAAACCTAGTTAGTTCATTCTTCCTTTGTGTCTCCTTTGCTCTTTTCTTCTCACCGGCCCTTTCAAACATTCTCAACACGGGCATAGATTCATGGTGCAAAAAAACCCCCTACCCTGAAACTTGCAAATATACATTGACCCATGACCAAAAATCTCTCTCCATCCCCAACAAAGTATCCGACTTCAAGAAACTTGCAATCCAAGTGGCACTAAAAAGAGCACTCAAAGCCCAAAGTCACAACAAGTGGCTGGGGCAAAAGTGTAGAAACAAGAAAGAAAAGGCTGCATGGGCCGACTGTTTGAGCCTTTATGAAGATACCATCAAACTCCTCAACCAAACTGTAGACCCTGCCATAAAATGCACCGACTACGACTCACAAACTTGGCTCAGCACTGCCCTCACAAATCTTGACACATGTCGGGCCGGGTTCGTGGAGCTTGGGGTTTCGGACTTTGTCTTGCCCCTTATGTCCAACAATGTGTCCAAGCTCATTAGTAACAGTCTGTCGCTCGGGAATAGCTCAAATGTTCCACCTGTGACAAATTTGTACACGGAGGGTTTTCCTAGTTGGGTGTCACCGGGTGATAGGAAACTGTTGCAGTCGACACCTGCGGCGGATGTAGTGGTTGCACAAGATGGGTCGGGGAACTATAAGACGATCAAAGAGGCGTTGGATGTTGCAGCGAAGAGGAGTGGGAGTAAGAGGTTTGTGATACATGTGAAGAGAGGGGTTTATAAGGAGAACCTTGATATCAAGTTGAAGAATATTTTTCTACTTGGTGATGGGTTGAGGTATACAATTATCACAGGCAGCCGTAGTGTTGTAGGTGGTTCTACAACTTTCAATTCTGCAACCGTGGGTAAGTCATGACGCTCTCTCTCTCTCAAGTCACAAGTCACTTGAAATGTCAAAATAAGGTGGCGCCATTGAACATTGTCTCAATAGATAATAAAGGTTGTGTGAATTGTTGGTTTTCAAAAGAAACAAGTAAATAGAGAAGAAGAAAAAAAAAACTTTATTTGACTCTATTATCTCACACAAAATAACATAGTCAGCAGTGTATGGGTAAGTAACTCATATTCTTTTATGTCTTAAACCCCCCCCCCCCCACCCAAGATTAAACTAAACATTACCGACTTTATATATGTTTTTCATTCTCTTTCACCATAACAATGAAAAGTGTGTGAAGTTGCTATGTTCATGTGTATGTCTTAATTATCTAATAAAACGTTATCGTTTTTCTCTTGAAAATATTAGTCTAATCTTAAAAATCCATATCTATAGATCTTTGATTCTTTTGGGTGTAATTACAGCGGTAACTGGTGAAGGCTTCATTGCTCGTGGCATAACATTCCGCAACACAGCTGGTCCAAAGAACCATCAAGCAGTAGCCCTCCGATCAGGCGCCGACCTCTCTGTTTTCTACCTTTGCAGCTTCGAAGGCTACCAAGACACCCTCTACACCCACTCCCAACGACAGTTTTACAAAGAATGCTACGTCTATGGCACCGTTGACTTCATCTTTGGCAACGCAGCCGTGGTTCTCCAAAACTGCATGATTTACGCAAGAAAGCCCATGAGTGGTCAAAAGAACACAATCACAGCCCAGGGACGAACCGACCCAAACCAGAACACGGGCATTTCTATCCACGACTCGCGTGTCATGGCCGCACCGGACTTCAAATCGTCTGTCGGCTCAGTCAAGACATTCTTGGGTAGGCCATGGAAGGAGTATTCACGCACAGTTTTTATGCAATCTTTCCTAGACACCCTGGTTGACCCAGCTGGGTGGCTCGAGTGGAGCGGTAATTTTGCTTTGAAGACATTGTATTATGGAGAATACAAGAACATTGGACCAGGTGCACCTACTAGTGGCAGGGTCAAGTGGGGTGGTTATCGAGTTATAACTAGTTCTTCAAAAGCATCGAAGTTTACTGTGAATAATTTCATTGCTGGAAGCTCATGGTTGCCCGCTACAAATGTGCCATTCACTGCTGGCCTTTGATCATAACATCTGATCATACCATTGCATGAATTGTGCCATTGTTGCATAATTATGTATCTAAGCTACTTATTTGACAGTAATTGTTTAATATGTTCTTTGATTATGGTATCGGAAATTACTTGATGGAAATAAAGAATTTTCGTTCTTGCCAAGTTAAGATGTGATCCCGAATTTCTTTATTTTTCTTGGTTGCATATAAGCAGCTAAGCCCACCACAACTAAGCAACAATCAAATGAGACCGAGTCGAGAAGGAGATGATCAAATCAACACCCTTGACAAGGAGAAAAGGCCTCAATGCGGCTCAAAGTAAAATCAAATTGGGTTTGACACTACAAGAAAAAGGCCCTTTAACGACACTTTATTTGCGACAGAGCACACAACCATCGCAAATTCTCAATAATATAGCGCGCATGGTGTTTGGGATGAAACTTTTGCGACTCTAGTTTAAGTAACGTCGCAAATGATGTATTTGATACGACGCCCTTCCAAACAATTTCATTTAGCGCCTGATTTTCATTTAACGCACCCCATCTTTAAAAGAAAGATATTTCGCCGTTTTTAATCTTTCGGTAAAGTTAATGGCTGCTTCTCAGATCTACAATCAAGTTGCCCCAAATCAAATCCCCTCTCTCTCTCCGATTCACAGTCAAGCGCCGATTTCCAGCGAAGCTATGCTCTGATCACTTGCCGTATGCTCTCTCTCTCTCTCTCTCTCTGTTTGTTTCCTGAGAAAAGTTTTGATGAATGAAAAATACGATTCCGTTTCTTGTGTTTTCTCACTAACCAAACATAAATATCGCTCAGTGTTCATAATTACGGAATGGTCTTTGACTTCTCTTTGTAAATGAAGTTTTGATTTCTCTTTTTGGTGCCAGTGCGTCTAATTATGATTTACAGTGTGAAGGAGTTTTTGGAAGATGGGGTTTATATGTACCCACTGATGTGAAGGTGAAGCAGATGAAGAGGGCAAAGTCGGACTGCGTGACGGTGCATAAGGAGTTTAGCATGCAAGGATAGGGATTCGGTGGTGATTGCTTATGAGTTTAAGGATAAACCCTCGGTGTTGAAGGCGGAGGATTGGGACTGGGTTGTGGTGGTTTTCGTCTTGTTGAGATTTTCAATAACAGTAAGTGGAAACTTTCAGTTCTAAGGTTTTAATTGCATTAATAAATTGTTATTTTGGTCATTGAGATTGTAGCTTTCTGAATTTGTTTTATGTGACTTTTGAAAGCGCATTCTAGCTGTTATGGATTGTGTTGTTTGTGTATGTTGTCTTGTGATGCAATTATGGGGTTTTCATGCGATTCAAAAATGATAGTGTGGAGTCAGAGCAAAGATTGTGAACCCGTGGAATGTGAAGATCATCTCGGTTGGTTGGTAAAATTTATTTGATTTAATGTGTTACCAATAAAAAACTAAGTTATGCTTGTAGGAAAAATCAAATTAATTGTCTTAATTTCTTGCTGCAATGGAAAAAAAAAATGGTTCCCTTTCATTTATGCTTGTAGGAAAATCAGAATGATTGCTTTCAAGGTCAATGGTTTGTTAGACCCCTGGAACCATTATGCACATAAGTAGTTAATAGTTACCCCTTCCTTTGTGCTTTAATTATCTTGATTTGTATCGCTACAATGAAATATGATTGCTATTATTTACCTGTAAGAATTTCACTGCATCGAATATGTATATTTACCAAAATAAAAAGTACATGGGAGGGGGGATTGCTCATGAATTTCTAAGATTGGTCCTAATTGTATAATGGCTTGCTCAAATTGGTTGCCTATGTTGTGAAGCCTACATACCAAATAATTTTCACACACCTTATCATTATTTAAGATTTGCATAGAAAAAGGAGGACACACTTGTTATTGCAAAGGGAAACTCTTTTTTGTTAATAGCTTGTGTTATATGAAAGTGTTCTCTCATGATTTTGCGCTTATCCTGTGTTTCTGACTGCAGATTCCTTGTCCGCAGTGATATTGTAACAACCTGTCCCGAGATTTACTGTACATAAATGGTATTTTTGTATTTTCATCAAGGAATTTATCTTCCTTTTAAAATTTGTTTTTGGTCTTAAATGGTGAGCCAAGGGACCCACCCCCTGATTTCTGTCCCCAGCCTCCCATCTCTCTCTTCCTTCTTCTTCGTCTCTCTCTCCCGTAACTCTCCCTTAGCTCTCTCCCTCTCAGCTCTCCCGTACTCTCTCCCTCAACCTCTCGCATCTCTCTCTTCCCCTGGACTCACTAGGACCGAGTCACCATCGAAGAGAGGCTCGCAACGAACCCCGGACCCTGCCCTGCGAGTTCGACGGCACGGAGTAAGCTCCGACAACTTTCGAGGCAACTTCCGGCCAAACCACGGCGAGTTGGCCGGCGTGTAAGGTATCAATCTCTTCGTCTCGTCGAGTACTACAACTTTCCTTTTTGTTTCACTCAATTTCGTTGAGTATTGAAAAAGTTATATCCATTTGAATCTTACCCAGTTTCCGGCGAGTCTGACGGATTTCGAGGCGTTTTCCGGCCAAACCACGGCGAGTTAGACGTCGTGTGAGGTATCATTCTCTTCTTCTCTTCAAGGGCTACAACTCTCATTTTTGTCTCGCTTGATTTCATTGAGTAGTGATAAAGTTATGGCCGTTTAAAGTGAGATGGTTTTCCGGCCGAATTTCCGGCCTTCTTCTTCCTTGGCAACAGGCCACCCGGCCTTTCCCTCTCCCTCGGGCCTTAGGCCCGTGTTGTCTTAAGCCCAAAACCCTAGCCCTTTTATTTATTTATTTGTTAATTGGTTTTAAAACCCATAAGGGCTCGGGCCCTAGTTTAATATGGCCTTGGGCCGGTTCCATTTAAATGAAAGGGCTTAAAGCCCTGTTTTCTTTGGTGAGGCCTTAGGGCCGGGCTTTGTGTGTGTGTGTGTTAGTTGTATGGGTTTGGGCCACCCATTTTAACCCTAAAACCCTAGGTTTCTAAAATCTATTAGGGCCTCATCCATCCAACCCAATTTCCTTATTTAGTTCAAAACCCATTAGATCCTAACCTTATTTAAACCTAAACCCTAATCCGGATTTCAAGCCTAAAACCCGTTAGACCTAATTTGACCGTTGACCCCCGGTCAATGTTGACTTTAGGGTTGACTTTTCGAGTTTTCGTCCAGGATCCTTATTAGGGTAATTCGACGTTCTGAATTCGTTTCCAATGTCCGTTTCCCCAAATTCAATTGCTATTATATAGTTTTATTTATTGGACTCTTTAATGTGCTTAGGGGCAATTATTATGACGTTTCCGTCTTCGCTAGTGGCGCAGCTTTTGGCGGCTAAGTACTGTGAGTGGACCCCTTCTAAAATTTCATGATTTGATAATTTAATTGCATAAATGATTAGCATGCCTACGAATTTATGATTTGATTTATGTGAAGCCTGTTGATTTAATATATTGATTATCGTCTCGTGTTTTGGTGAGGAATTAATTGTTAGCCTATATTGAGCTATATTTTAATATATCGTATTTTCTATAAAAACCATGAACTGGTAGACTATCTGATAGATGACGATAGGATGCTAGAACATGTTTTTGAACCCCTCTTTATAGTGTAGACGATGATCGGTAACCTACGCTATGAAGTGGTATTTACGAGAGGCGTACCATTTTGTGCGTACCTAGTAGACATTATGCCGCCTGGGGCGAGGATCTGGTGTTGGCATTTAGGCCGGGAGAAATAATCCCTAGCTACGGGCTGAGGGACATGAAGAGGCATTGGGCCGGGTGGTAGTTATCTCTGGCTACGGGCGCAGAGACTTAGGTGCAGGCATTGGGCCGGGAGTTATATTTATTCGGTGATCTTACTAGCAGCACACCGCGTTTACGAGACGATTTATGAGACGTTTGATATTTTGATTTCCGCGATGTTTTTCTGCGAGATATGGCTTTTGAGATATTTTTGGCATGCTAGGATTTTTATTAAATCCATCACTTATTATGCTAGTAGTTTTCATTATTAAACTGTGGGGGTTATTACTTTGATAACTGTTTTATTATTATATATATGAACTTGGTCCACTCACCTTTGTTTTGCGCCCCCATTCAGGACTTAGAATCAAGGCACATAATCCCGGCGTCAAGACACTTCCGTAGCAGCATCTTCGGATCCTCTCGAATGTAGGACTCACTCCTTTATTTATTAAATTTTATCTCAATTCTTTTTATTGATTAGGTTTAGTTGTATGCTCTGAGCACGTTCCTTAAATTATTAATTCTTAGTATTTAAATTTCTAACCTTTATTTATTTCTTATTCTTAGCTTTTGTATCAATTAATGGCTTTCGTCACCCCCGGGTGTCGGCCAGCACGTGTCGATCCTGGTAGTCGGGGAATATCAGGGTCGGGGCGTGTCAGATATGCCTCTCAGAGTGCTTCCCAAGTTTATTGGGGTTCAACTTGTTAACTTTCATATTCAATTGTATTTCAAGAACACTACACCTCTCATTGATAAGCAGAGCTGCAGTTTTTTCTTTTTGTTTCCCAAATTATTTGCCTACCTTGTGTTTGTAAGAACTTCAATTCTAGCACTGTTGCAGAGGCTTTGATGCGGAGAATAAGGGTGACAATGGAGATCTTCACACAGCCTACACTGGCAAAGGGAAAGGAGACGACTCTGAATCATTAATGTGTTACCAGTAAGAGTTCCATTGAATTAGATACTTTTAATTCCTAGTCAATTGGCGGACATACCTTTGTTTTAATTTGAGCCTCTATGAAGAGGACTAAGGGCTGGTTTGGTATTGATGTGCTTTGAAAAAAAGCTGCTGTGAGAATAAGCGGTTGTGCTGTGAGAATAAGCGGCTGTGAAATAAATCAGCAGAGTGTTTGGTAAATTTTTTTGTAAAAGTGCTTTTGGAAAAAAAAAAAGCAGTCTAATAATGGGTATTTTCATTAAAGAAGCACTATAGCTCCGTGTGCTTTGAAAAAAAGCCAGTTTTCCAAAGCTACAAATAGTAACTTCAGCTTTTTCCTTTGATTTCAGCTTATTCTCACAGCAGCTTTCAAAATAAGCCATTTTTTTTCAGTTTACCAAACACCTAAAACCCTCACAGCTTTTTTTCATGTGTGCTTTTTTTTAAGCACCTCACTCCCAAACTAGGTCTAAGAGTAGAGCTGCTGCAAGGAGTGACATAATTACTCGCAGGATCAAGGGGAGGAAGTTAGTTGTCGAACTAACAAACCAATCTGGAGTGACAATTCCTGTAGGATTATAGATGGTATAAATGTTTAGGATAATGTATATATGTTTAAATACTAGAAGTGAAATACATTCTTCATTCTCAAAGAAACCAAATAAATATTTTTGGATTTGTGAATTATGAATAGTATCAGTGAGGTTGGATTGTTATTTTAGTTTGGAACCTATAGTAAATTTCAAATGAAATAATTTTGGTGAAGCTATTAAAAATAATGTTGTTGTGGCGTCTCATTTGATGCACACTTTTTTTTTTTTTTTTTTTTTTAAACCTGAGACCATTTATTTGTGACGCGTAATCTACTGTCGCAAACCCGTAGTAAATAGTATTTGCGATGCACTAAAAGTGTCGCATATAATCGACCAAACATTTACGACACCACTTTGTTGCGACGCGTTACTAACCGTCGCAAGGCCGTCGTTAAAGGGCTATTGCGACGCATTTGGCTACTTTTGCGACGCGTTTTAAGCGTCCCATAAGACCCATTTTTTTGTAGTGTGAGCTGGTGCGACTCAAAATTATTTTGAGATTTAAGAGAGTGTAGATACAAGATGCCCTAAAATTTACCATAATTGGCTAAAAACGAGCAGCGATGTATTCAATCAAAACACAGCCACACAACATTACTATTTCAATAATAATACAACACGTGATTTTTTTTATTAATACATTTTAAAACTGAGACATATCAATTATATTGTTCTCTCTTATTATAGCATGCGAAACAATCCACAAGACTTGTGTTGTTCATAATTTTGCTTTGTGAAGTGGTGAAAATATTAGGGTTTGTTTGGAAGTGTTTTTAAAATGATTGGAAGTGTTTTTGATGAATTTTTTTTTTGATTTCAAAAGCATTTTAAGTGCTTTTTCAGGATTCACTTACATTTTTATAAAAGATTGATTTCAAAAATATTTTCATCAAAACCGCTTTCACCCATTTGAAATACATTTCCAAACACATCCTTAATCATTTTGAATATAGATGCAGTGACTATGGACTACAATCTTAATCATTTGAGCTTTCACTATTCCAGCTTTATTTGTTCCGATTTCTTATTCACATGATCATGGTAATAATAGTCATTACAATTTTCGAGGTGACATAATAACGAAAATGCAATCATATATTCACCTGTTTTGTAATTATCTAATTTTTTTAGGTAAGACTTCTACATTGTGTTTCTAAATAAAGTGATCTCAAAACACTAAGAACATAATCCTTATTTGAATCATAAACCACTCAATTGTCACTAATATGTGTTTTCGTGCGTGCATATGCCCAAAAGTTGTCAACCATGCGTCACATTCACAAATTTGCCCGCTTATCTTTTATTTTTCTTACTAATTTTTAGACGAATTGCGGCAAAACATTGAGAAAACACAGCACAAGACATCAAATATGGACCACACGTTGCAACCAAGTACCCGCATTTTTGTAGAGGAAGTAGCCTTACAATTAGATGAAACTTGCATGCAACATTGTTTTACATAATGAATAATGTTAAGTAACTTTTTTTAGACCAAATTTGCAAATCATGTCATGTATTATTAATAGAAAATAAATACGTTAATAAACCACTAAGTAATAATTCAACCATCAACAATCACATTATTAATTTACAAAATTTGGTTTAAATAGTTAGTCTCACTCGCATTACTAAGAATATGTTAAATGTTTATTTGACTGCATGAAAATGTAAAGGTTACATTTTTAGGCGGCTTTTAACAATCATTTTATATGCTTATCTAGCGTCGCGTTTACTAATACAAATTTATAAAACTCTTTGTAGATGCTCTATATATCCAACATTGAAACGTCAATCCCTTCATATTTCAGGGCCTTCAATAGCTTACAATACTCTCTGAATTAGAGTTGGTTTACACTACTACAATATTAGCTTTAGGTGGCAGATGATGGTGACGGATATTAGAAAAATCATGTCGGATAAATTATATCCGACACATCATGTAATTAGTGTCGGATATTAGAAAAATCATGTCAGTTATATCCGACATAAATTTCTGACGCATATTTAGTGGCGGATATAAACAAAATATTGTCGGTTATATCCAACAGTATTTTTGAATTTTTTTAAAAATATTTTTGACAGATTCTGGCGGGTTTTAAGTTAAAGGTGGTGGTTATAACCGACATAAATTGACTATTTTATTATTTTACCTTCTGGCGGTTATTATTTTAGTATTCTGGCGGTTATAACCAACAGAAATGAAAGTTTTATTATTTTAAAATGTTATATTGATTAAAAATAAATAAATAAACAAATATTTTAAAAAAAAATTCACTCATGACCCTAAAGTCTATTGAACCCAATTCCCACAAGCCATAAATTTTATGAGAGAATAATAACAACAGACTACAATCTGAAACTCTATCATTTTTGTAATAAGGATTATGCTCTCTCACAGGCAAGCAACAAGATACAAAGAAATTCAAACAATTTTTTTCAATGTGTCACAAAGCATATTGTCTGGCATATAAACACACATTATATGGTGTACTTCCATTAAGTATAAAATAAGATTTATCCACTAGTGTAAATATTTTAAATTGAAGATCGAATTCATTCATTGCATTTTTATATGATCGAGGAGTGTAGCTACAAAAAATCATCAAAATCGGAGCTAAAATAACCGTTATATTGTGATTTTTCATTTATAACCATCGAAAACTTTTGTTCCGTTACCTAATCTCTGAATGTTTGTTTTTTGCGATTTTTTACGTATGCGATCTTGGAGTGTGTACAAACAAGTTTGATGGTTGGATCGTTGAAAAATGTTTCGTAGAATGCATATTGCATCAAAACGGTATATTAAACCAACACTTAGAGTTAATGTTATACTTCCCCATCAAGTATAAAATAAGATTTTGTGGTATCCACTAATGTAAATATTTTAAATTGAAGATCGAATTCATTCAATGCATTCTTATAGGGTCGAGGAGTGTAGCTGTAAAAAATCATCAAAATCAGAGCTAAAATAACCGTTAAATTGTGATTTTTCGTTTATAACCGTCAATTTTTTTTGTTTTGTTACCTAATATTTGAATGTTTGTTTTTTGTGATTTTTTACGTATGTGATCTCGGAGTGTGTACAAACAAGTTTGACGGTTAGATCATTGAAAAAAGTTTCGTAGAATGTGTATCACGTCAAAACGGTAAATTAAATAAACACTTAAGAATTAATGTTATACTTCCATTAAGTATAAAATAAGATTTTGTGGTATCCACTAGTGTAAATATTTTAAATTGAAGATCAAATTTATTCATTGCATTCTTATAGGGTCGAGGAGTGTAGTTGTAAAAAATCATTAAAATCGGAGCTAAAATAACAGTTAAATTGTGATTTTGGGTTTATAACCGTTGAAAACTTTTGTTCTGTTACGTAATCTTTGAATGTTTATTTTTTACGATTTTGGATCGTTGAAAAAAGTTCCGTAGAATGCATATCGCGTCAAAACGGTAGATTAAACAAATACTTAGAGTTAATATTATACTTCCATTAAGTATAAAATAAGATTTTGTGGTATCCACTAGTGTAAATAATTTAAATTGAAGATTGAATTCGTTCATTGCATTCTTATAGGGTCGAGGAGTGTAACTATAAAAAAATCATCAAAACCGAAGCAAAAATAACCATTAAATTGTGATTTTTCATTTATAACTGTCGAAAACTTTTGTTCTGTTACCTAATCTCTGAATTTTTTTTTTTTGCGATTTTTTACGTATGTGATCTTGTAGTATCTACAAACAAGTTTGACGGTTAGATCATGAAAACTAGTTTTGTAGAATGCATATTTCCGTTAAATTTGCCTAAATTTTGAAGTGGGAAAAGTAATTTGTGCTAAATTTTTATTTATGTTTTGCAAGTATTGATTAGGCAATATTTAATTTGTGTGATGACATTTTCATTGTACAATTATCTTTTTGTTTCTTTATCGCATATTTTGCATGAGTTATTATCTATTAAACCAAACAATCATTTATTTAATTTTTAAAAACGTATTCTATTTAAATACATATTATTTATTTATTTATTAAACCAAATAATTTTTATTTTATTTTTTAAAATCGTAACAAAATTTTGGGGGGAATTTAAAATTTTGGGAGGGAATTTTGGGGGATTTTTGCCACCATTTTTTTTGTCGGTTATAATCGACACTAATAAAAAATTTATGTTGGTTTTATACTCCAATCCGTTAGACTTGCACCCACTCAGACGCTCTCTCTACCTCTCTCTCACTTTCATTTATTCATTATTCTCTATTCATTTCTTCATTAATCTTCCAGATCTTTCAAATTCCTCCTCTCAAATCCCCAACCCCAAACAACAAGTTTTCGAAAACGAGGAAATGACAGACCAAGAACCCTACGCGCCGGCTCCAATGGCGAGGGGGATGATCGTCAATGATACGTACGAGTTTTCGGCTCCGCGCTTCTTCGACTTCATAAAGGAAAAGAGCGAAGACGACAGGCGCAAGGTCGAGCTCTGGTTCGACTGCGCTCTCGCTTATGCACCTTCACGTACA